TGTGTGTGTGTGTGTGTTTGTGTGTGTGTGTGTGTGTGTGTGTGTGTGTGTGTGTGTGTGTGTGTGTGTGTGTGTGTGTGTGTGTTTGTGTGTGTGTGTGTGTGTGTGTGTGTGTGTGTGTGTGTGTGTGTGTGTGTGTGTGTGTGTGTGTGTGTGTGTGTGTGTGTGTGTGTGTGTGTGTGTGTGTGTGTGTGTGTGTGTGTGTGTGTGTGTGTGTGTGTGTGTGTGTGTGTGTGTGTGTGTGTGTGTGTGTGTGTGTGTGTGTGTGTGTGTGTGTGTGTGTGTGTGTGTGTGTGTGTGTGTGTGTGTGTGTGTGTGTGTGTGTGTGTGTGTGTGTGTGTGTGTGTGTGTGTGTGTGTGTGTGTGTGTGTGTGTGTGTGTGTGTGTGTGTGTGTGTGTGTGTGTGTGTGTGTGTGTGTGTGTGTGTGTGTGTGTGTGTGTGTGTGTGTGTGTGTGTGTGTGTGTGTGTGTGTGTGTGTGTGTGTGTGTGAGTATGTGTGAGTATGTGTGAGTATGCGGGTGTGGGGGTGGGGGTGGGCGGGGTGGGGTGGTGGGGTGGGGTGGGGCTTGGGGAGGGGTGGGGTTTGGGGAAGATGAGGGAAGGGGAGGGGTGGGTGTGGGTGGGAGGTTGGGGGGTTGGTACGTGTGTGCGCGCGTGCGATGCTCGGTGTGTTAAATCCAATGATAATCTATGTTTGGTAGATGCACGCTTGCCGCTTTCCGTTTCCTTGCTGTTCACTTTGGTTGCGTTGCCCTCCCTTGTGTTGCTTGCTTCGTTGCTTTTTGTGTTTCTTTGGACGTGGGTCTACCCAGAAGCGCTCGGCGCTTCTCGACGTCGAGCTGACTGGGCAGGTGGTTTATGCCACGCTCGCGGACTCCTCGGAGCTGAAGAATCTGAAGGGCCTGCGGGATCGTGACCTGGCGCTGGCGCATCTCAGGCACTTGATGGAAACGCTGCAAGCGCCTGGGCAGCACAGACCGCGAAAATGAGCCATGGAGTTTGTGACAATCCGGTCCCATCATGCTTGGTATCATATATGGTTCCCTTGTTCCAGATTTGGGCGGCCAACTCCAGCGGTTTTCACTTCCGTGAATCGCTAGTTTGGTACTGGTTCAGAATTGACCTTTCGAAAAAATGATTCTTAAATGAGGGGACCTGCATAATTAGGGGAAGGGATCATAGAAGGTCAGTCTGAGACATGGTTTCAACGCCGGAATAATAAATCGCGTAGTCCGCCCAGAGTCTAGACCGGATTCCCTTTTTGGCAGGTGTGGTGCACTCTCGTCCGAAAGCTTGTTCCTTGCGTTTTTTTGGGCTCCATCGTTTGCCGCAGGCGTGGTCTTTTGGTAGTCTGCAGTTAGTCCTTCGTTTGTCTTCCTTGTTTCGTCCCCTGCCAACGTCCATGTCGCTCTCTGCGTCCCAGAATTGGTGCGCGCCCCAAAATACAAGTGAACGTACCAGCGGTGTAATTCGTCGGTTTTTATGCGGAGTACGCAAGTTGGATCCCCTGAATGTCCGAGGGTCTCAAAATCGATCATGTTTCCGGCCACGGGTACAGGCCATATAAAACTTCTTGACGGCAGCGGCCGCACCTTTGATTCCGCACACAGGATTGAGGCATTGAGCCTTGTGTGACCCCGTGAAAAGCCAGGGCTTGAGTGTGCTTAGTTGCTTGTTTGGGCCAATTTGGTTTCTCCCTGTCCACTTGGCTTCCTGCAGAGAGTCTCAACTTTCCCGCTACAAGCAGTCTCCGTCTCCAGCTCTGGGCCTTTCTGCTTGAAAGGCTCTGGAAGGCCTCTCGGTCGCTGACACCAAGGGCCTATGTCTCAAAGGGAAACCAAATGATAAAGCCGATTTGCATGGTTTGATCACGGCCTTTGATCATCATGGCCTATGTGAGTCTAAAGGGAAACCTGATGACACCACAGCCAATTTGCATGGTTTGATCATGGCCTTGCTTCGGCTCGGAAGTCCGGTCGAGGACCCACCGGCGCCGGTGAAAGAGGACGAGGGCTTGAAGCGTCGATCCATCGACAGCCCAGCGACCGCCAGCACGCCGAACCTCCAGTCCTCGCTGAGTTTGCCCAGCTTGTCCTCAGCGTCTTCCCCCGTCTCGAAGAACCGTGAGATCGAGGATCGCAAGCGTCTTGCTTGCGATTGAGTCGCTACAACAGAAAATATATTCAAGAATTTGCTTGGTTCTAGGGTTCGGGCACTTCCTTACTGAACCTTTTTCATGTTGTTCTTGGCTTTGGGTGTTTTGGATCGCGCGGATGGCTATACTTTGAGTTGGCACCGGTGTGTTGATTTTCTTCCTGAGGCTTTGCGGAATCAAATATCCTGCAATGGGGGGGGGGGGGGGCTGGGGGCTTTTGAGGGTGTTAAACACGCACCTAAAAGGAGCTTGAGTAAACACCACGCATGGAAGCGCCTGGATCCAAGGAAGCGATGGATGGCAGCACCGCACTGACGTGCGGTCTGTGAGGTTCTGGGCGTTTCACCGGGTAAAAGTTCCCTAGGAAAGTGGCTGGACACATCGCAAGAAGCGAATGAAAGGCTTAGAGATGTTTGGTGGATTGTCGAAAAATGTAGACGCCTATTTTGGACCCCTTTTAAAGGCGGGCTCCACAGAAACCATGGCCCAAAACCATTTTGGACAACCCCGGTTTACAGATAGGTGGGACACATCGCTGTGGATCATTGAGGTTGCAAAATCCCAGAATCAACGGGCCGGGTGTCCAGTCGGGTCATCTCTTTGACACTTGCTTTGAGCTCGTTGCATCTGTGAGACGCATGATGCCAAGCATCGAATCGCGGAATTCAAAAGTCCAAACGGGAGAACAGCGGGACGAGAGTTGTTTGCGCTTTCGGGCCTTGCAAGAAAGCCGGTAGGCTTCCGCTCTGCTCGACTCGTGTGTTGCCCCTTCAGACCCGAGACGGCAAATCGGAGAGAGGTCTCAGGCACTGATCTTGCCACGTGAACACCCGCAGTGCACATTGGTGTCATTTTCGCCGTGTTCCGCGCAGGTTTTGCTAATGACAAGCTGGACGCAGAAGCAACTTGGATTGAGCCTTCACAAAGGATGGCGCTGCGTTGGCCAAATCAATCGCCTGTGCCCGAAATAGATTCGATTGCCAGTAGATGGCACCAACTAGCTTCAAATTTCACCGATTTGAATGTGTCGCCTTCCAGCAAACTGGCGGTTGCTTTGCCGGATTCCAACTTCACTTGCGAGGATTTGGGCCAGAAGAAATCTCTGGCTGAATTCGCCCTGGCTCGCAGGTTGCTGATTGGTGTTTTTTTCTCATTGCCTGCTTTTGCAGAAGCCATGCAAGACATTCGGATCTCCGTGACTCGTGAGCAACATGCCGGGCAGTTCTTGAAGGGGCCCACTATTCGATCAATTGTTTGGCTTGTTGAGATGCCTTGGCGCTGAAAGTTATCAACCAGCGCGTTTCAGGTCGGAAAAAGCAGGCAAGAGTGCTCAGACGCGAACGGCACGTGACATGTTGGCGCGGCTTGGCATTCGGCATTCGGCGGCTTCCCGGCAAAGGCATGCGAGAGGCAGAAATGCAGATGGCACTTTGACTCGAGTTGGCCGTGGTCAACACCAATGGTACCAATTTTGGGGCTAGGTGAATTCACCACCCATTTTAGGCTTCCTATGTTAGTGGTTGGCTTGAATCAGATGTTCACTGGGGGCTAACCGATTTGGGTTTTGAAAAGCCCATGGCCACTTGTGCTATGTGGGATGGTCTCTAAGAGTCCACCTCGGAGAAAAAAATCTTTTCAGGGTCCTAGAAGTCGGAGGAGCCCCGATAGATACCGCCATCTCCGCTTACTAAAAAAGGAGACCCCTGAGTGCGGCCCTCCCGGAGGGAGCCCCTGAAATGGGTTTCCCTGTGCTGTTTTTTTTGCCAGACAGCTCCGAAAAGGGCTTCTCTGACAAGAGACATGCTCGCTCTGTGCTGCAGCCTCTTGTGCTGCAGCCAGACACTGCGTGCTTGAACCCCCAAGAAACCTTTGCGCTAAAGTCCTGTTGGGTTCTTAGATGTGTGATGTGACTCCATCAGCTGGCAAGTCATCAAGTGCTCTGGATTTCTTGGCTCGGCATATATCCGGGAGCTCAGCGGCCGGAATGTGGCAAGGATTGGAGCTTGTTGGGCAGGAGGGCAGGAGGGCAGCTATCGTCGTCAGGTCCTGCCCAACAGCGCCATTAGGTCTTCGGCAAAATGCGCATTGGCCATTTGGCGCCAAATCGTGCGAGTGTATTTTGTCGCTGCGTGCTGCTAGGAATACTTCTTGGGCTAATTTTGGGGCGGGGAGGACCCCGTGTTGGATGGCTATCAAAGCCAGTGTCATGCGTCCCCTAGGCCCTGGTTTAGGATATGGTTGATCCATCCAACCACGAGTCACTGTTTGGGGTGTCCGTAGTAGTGAATCATTTGCAGAGGGCAAGTTGCCTGGCGGCCTTTGTATGCAACATGTCACTCTCTTCTAGCACACTGCGCGGCTCAAAGGTACAGGGATGGCCAGGCATTTGGTGCCACGCATATCTAGACTTAGCGAGTTGGGGCCAACTTGCTATGAGCAAGACCAGCCCCGCTTTCAAAAAAACCAACCGTATGAACCGAGGGCCAGCCTCCGGTCAACGAGACAACGAGAAACATTCAACGGATGCCTTGAAGCGTCATCCGTGAGAGGGGCAAACTCAGACGGCATTGCGGGGAAGAAAGAGTTCGAGCTGAAGCAAGCCACGTACAGCTTCATGGTCATAGGGGTCGAAGATTCACAGCAAACCGAAGGGCAGCTTTTCTACTGCGCCGCTCAAACTTTGAGTCTGTGCTTACTCTCCTTCGATGTTGTTTTCGTTTGTTTGGACCGGGGTCATTCTTTTGACGGTTTCTGGGAGTTATCAAAGTCAAAAAATGGGGGTTGTTTCCCTTTAACCCACCACTTAGGGGCTGACTTTGATCCAGTTGGAGCTGTTCGCTTTGTTTGCCCTATCATGTTTCCCTGAGCTCACCGGGTCTGAGGGGTGACTTCGTCTAAATCGGATGAGCCATGAGCCGAGCCAAGGCCTCCGCACTTGATCCATGTGACTTCTCGAATCCCTAAGGGAGGGTATCGCTGGGTGGATAGCTTTGGTGCATTTTGCCAAGAGCTGTTAGGACTTTGACTTTTGGCCAACGAATGGGTTTTCCACTAAACCACTAAAAGTTAAACTTTTGGTAGGGCAGAAAGCAACCGAGATAGGTCATAGCCCGTTTCGGGTTGTTTAGGAAACCTTAGGGAGCTTTGGGGAATTCAATCCTTGCGTTCCTTAGCCGTGGGGAGTCTCCCTCTTGGACGCCCCCTGGACTCCATGAATGCCGAAGCTTCGGATTGGATTCGTTTGGATGTGGAGAATCACACGGCTGTGGGTCAGAACCCTGGAAACCCCTGGTGAACATCAAAATAGGTGCTACATGGGTGTTCATCCGCCCTGGAGGCATAGGTTTTGATTCATGGCCACATCACAGCGCAGATGCGTTTCAGACGATCGGGGCTTGATCCCCCTCGCGAAGCTACGCAAAGCCACGTGGATGAATCCACGAGTTAGGGCACAGCTCCGTTGGCAATAGAGGGCACGACTAAACCTCACTTGCCCAAGGCGAATCGAGCTGTTGACCTTGTAGATTCGGCTTTCTGCTTGCTCCGTTTTTGGCCACGGCCCCAAAAGATCAACCTTTGCTTCTGGATCGTTTGGGCAACTGAGAAACCCAAAAGCGTTGGAATTGTGCCACGGGTATGAAATTATTTAGGGCCCCTTTGGGCCACCAACCACTTTCAAAGCTTAAGATTCATGGCCATTTGATTAGTTTCCCAATGCTGGTGTTTTACCCGACGGTTTCACCATTAATCTAGGGTTACCTTCCCCATTCTTTCCAGGGATCCTTCTTTCTAGAAAACCTCCGGAATCCCAGGGAGAACGGCTGGTTTTTGAAAAGAACGATGGTTGAACAGAATGGAACAGGAACCAACCCCTAGAGATATACATGGGATGACAATTGGGGGAAACCTCTCACAAGATATGTCCCACCAAATGACCAAATGTCCAAATGCTTCCCCCATTAAAATCCCATAGCCACGTTTCACCCCATCCGGCCGCGCGCACTTCGCGCGCGTTTTTTCCGGCAGCTCCGCAGGCTGGCGTCGCGATGTGGTGGCCGGCCACCAAGCCATGGACACCACGGGAGGCAGTGCGGAGCCCGACACAACGCATGCGAATGGCTCATGCCAATGTTTAGGAAATCAAGGAGTTCCGTGTGTTTGATTGTTCTGTTTCCTTTCTTTCCTTGCTTTATGTCTTTGTTTTTTTGTTTGAGTGTTTGTCTGTTTGTTTGTCTGTCTGTCTGTCTGTCGGTCTGTCTGTCTGACTGTCTGTCTGTTTGTCCATGTGTTTGTTGTTGTCTCTTTGTTTCTTAGGTTTGTTTGTGTGTGTGTGTTTGGGGGGACGGGGGTAGGAATTGGAAGGCTAGTGTTGAGAACCTCCCACAAAGAATTGAGACGAGTTCCAGGAAGCCGCCCCATGAAAATGGATTGATCCTGTGGATGTTTTTTGGTCCAAATGGGGGGCCAAATGTTCATTTGAAATCACATGGTCTTTTGGGGCCAAATGGAGAAGCCTGGCCCACGTGGTCTTTTTGAGGGCCATCCGGGACCCCCGGAAGCAAAATGTTGATGTTCCTGTTGGTTTCTCTTTTGAACCAGCAAACATTAGGTACTCAAAAAAACACACCCAAATGAAGCACCCCTAAAAATAGTTTGTTTTCTTTTAGGAGCAGATCAGCCGGCTCCAGTTTTTGGGAATACCCGCATGAACTCTTGAGGGCGCAGAGGTTGCGTGATGGCGTCTCAGACGTGGGGATGTTAGGATCTCTGTTGCAATGGCCAGTCGTCCGTTTTAGGTCTGTTTGGTCAGAAAGAAATGGGTTCCACTGCTTCAGATTGGTTTGATCGCCTTTTTTTTTTCAAGCGAAACCCATCTATTTTTCCAAAAGGTCACCTATGACTGGAATGGTGTTCTTGTGAAAAAGAGGCGAAGTGGCTTGCATTAAATCACACGAGCACGCTGCGAATGCTTACTTGCAGGAGAGCCTAGGCATCAACGAGCTAGTCTGTTCCATTTCGTTTTCTTGTTTCCTAACAATCACCAACACGTTATGGACAACGTGCGCCCCGTGCTTTCTAAAGGCGATTGCTCCTGTTGCGCTTGGTCTGGACATGTCTCCAATTTGTTGGGGGGCGCAACCTTGGGCTTCGTTTAAAGGGAAGCCAACAGGAAACCCGGTGGCGCTGTTAGGGACGAGGCCGGCTGACGCTGAGGCACCTGGGATGCAGCGCCCGTGCCTCGGGCAAGCCCCCGCCCCGTGACCGTGAGAGGTGTGGATGGGAAGCGGTGCGCAAATCGAAGCTGATGGGAGGTTGGCCTTGGCAGAACTGTCGACTTCCCCGAAAGCGCTTACGGAAAAAGAAGAAGACGGAAAAGAAGAAAAACAAGTCCCGGAAGTCTGAGCGGGGCATGGTTTGTGGTCCCGCTGGTGGCCTTTCGGCAGACAGAGACAGACACGGAGACCGGACAGAGAGACAGAGCACCATTCACCATTCAGACAGGCAGGCAGGCAGGCGGGCAGACAGGTAATGACTAGGCAGACAGACTGATAGAGAGCTAGAGAGAGAGGCAGAGAGAAAGAGGGAGCACAAAAAGAAACTTCCATTTGTGTAAGACTGTTTGTTATTTTCCCCTGTTGGTTTTAAAGGGAATCTATGACTACTGGAAATATTTGCTCATTTGTTTCCAGGGGGACGAAAAAGCAAATGGAAGTTGGGAAACCAAGGTTCCGTTGGTTTGATTGTTTTGTTTCCTTTTCTTTCTTGGTTTTATGTCTTTGTTTATTGGAATCAGCTTGGCCTGGCTGGGATTGGCAGGCTGTGTCTTTGAAGCGTGAACATTGATGGCTGCGCGGTTCAAGGCAGCCATCGATCGAAGACTTTTTTTTGTCTCGATTTGGGCTGCCTAGCCATTTTGGTATTTCCTGTGTGCGCCCATTCGCACGCAGAGGTGTTGTATGCGACATTGCCATGGAAGCCGTCAGTCGCCTTACTCGGCAAGGCCCTCGGTAAGCGTTGCGCCAATTCTTGCGCGGGCACCGGAGCCTAGCTTTTCCGAAGCCTTTCTGGCAAGTGTCCACCCAGGTCTTGTGCACATTTTGCGCCGCAGGGGCATTGCTTGCGAATCAGACTTGGCTAACTTGAGGCCGTGTGAGCTGGTTGATTTTTTCGGTGGTATATTGTTGGAAGAAGATGCGGTGGAGCTTATCCGGGTTGCTGACTCAGTCTTTCGGCGGCATCTAGGCAAGCCACTTGACCAGTTGAGCTGTCAACCTGTCCCTCACACAACACCGCAACTGAAGCCAGTAGCAAGTTCTGGTAGTTTGTCTCAAGTGCTGTGGCGGCGACCGAGTGACGCTGGCCCAATAGTCGCCACGGAACCGTTTGAGATTATGTGGAAAGTGTACTCTGAGTTGGGAGCACGCGGGCTTCTCTTTTCGCCTCTGCTCATTAACCAGCCTGAGCAAGCCAAAGATGCCTTGCAAATGCGCCTAGGCGCCTTTGAAGCATCCTCTTTGCAGGGTCATGTTTCAGCTTGGCGCCGTTGGCGTCGCTTTGTGGCATCGCATGAAGCAGCAGACAAATCTCCGTTGTTTCCGTCAATTGAGGCTGTTTTCGCTTTCTTGCAAACCCAGGCTTCTAGAGGCCCAACTGTGTCTCATCACTTGTTCCAGCAACTGTTGTGGTGGCGTACACACGTGGGTGTGCCGTTCCCATTGCACGACCCCTTGCTGCAAGTGTGGAACCGGCCAGCGGAGGGCCACCAGGCAGCTCCGAAGGAACCGTTGGCGTTGTGTGCAGTAAAAGTGCTAGCCAGTTTGGCGGCCTGCGGGCCACCAACTGAAGCAGCTTTTGCTGGATTTGTCCTTATGCCTTTGGCAGCATGTTTGCGATTCGCCCACCTCCAACGATCTTGCCAGTTGCGGGTTGATGGCCCATTCTTGCTTGGCCTTTGTAAAAAAGGGAAGTCCCGACGACAGCACACACGGCCCCCGTTCGAATGGGGATGCCCTGCTGGTTTCTTTGGGTTTGAGTCAGTTTTCTTGCACGCTTTGCGCGTTGTGAATGATGTTGCCGCCCGTTGCGATAAGACCAGCTTTGTAGTGCCGGATTTGCTTCTTGGCCCTTCTATGCAAATCCAGTCTGATGCTACTTGGGTGCCCAGAGCTATGCCCTTGTCAAGGTTTGTGAGTCTTTTAAGGAAGCTGTTGGTACATCGGCTGCCAGGGCTTAGTAGTGCAAGCACGGTGTCCTCTTACTCCTTGCGCCGCTTCTTGCCCACCGTTGCCGAAATTGTGCGCTGTCCTCCGGAAGTAGCGCAGCATCTTGGCAACTGGGTAGAGACGGTGCAGCTCGAACATGTGCCGTCACGTTCTTTGTGCATGTCGCAGCATTATGCCAACGAGAAAGTTCGCAGTGCTGCTGATTCCAAGGCCAAGCTGTTAGGGGCTGTTTGGGCTGTGCTGAAGAACTCTAAGGACATTTCAGTCCCCTTTGATAATTTAAGGGCAGCTCACCTCACGTGGGCTAGAGTTGTTTCTGGCGAGCTCTCTGTTCCGGATGCGGCCAAAGCATCTGCTTCCGAGTCAGTGTCTTCTTCCTCTTCTTCTTCCAGTTCAGAGTCAGATGTTCCCATAGAGAGCGTTTCTTGGTTCCAGCTCACCAGAGGAGTGGTGCACGTGCAGAGGCCTTCAGCCGTCTTGCTTACGCCCTTGTGTCGAACGGAGCCTTTCGCGTCTCAACCGTGCTCTCGTGGAGCAGGTCTTGGCCCAAGCATGAACGTGTGTGCCAAGTGCATTCAAGCGGCGCCTAGAGCACTTTTCCGTGCAATCAAAGCTTCTTTGCGTGCCCAGGACACTCCTTAGAGTGCTTAGCGTTGAATTCGGTCACATGCCCTGTGAATGCGTCAAGCCTACGCTGCGCGCTAGCAGCGCCACTTGACATTACTCACTTGTAAAAGACTGGTGCTAAAATGAGTCTGTTACGCGGTTGCGTTGAGTTTCTGAACTTCCGGGAATTTCCGGGGTTTGGTTCTTTTTCGGCCCCGTTGGATTCCCTCGTTTGGTGCTTGTCTCGGTTTTTACCACAGGCTTTGCGCGGCCGTCAACTTTCATAGTTGCTGACATGGAGTTGCTCGGAATTTCCAGGGCTAGTGTCTTTTTTGGCTGGCCCTGTTGGGTTCCTGGCATTTTCCTCTCTTGGATATTTATATTTGTATATATACATATATATTTAAACCAGGAGAAACAACACAAATTGTTGCAGCAACCTTCTTCTCAGTTGCTTGGAGATTTCCGGGGTTGTGGGTTCTTGCCCTGCCCTGTTGGATTTCCCTGCTCTCTTGTATGTCGCAAGCAGGGGCGCATTCCTTTCGCTTGCTGTGGAATGTCGGGGGTTGTTGGTTTTCCCCTGGTCCATTACACTCCTCAAATTTCGAATTCTTGGCTTTCAATTGCGGTTGCAAGGGTACTTGTTGCGAGCTTGGAATTTCCGGGGTTGCGGCTTTTTCCCTGCCCTGTTGGATTCCCTCGCTTTCGCCATTTGGGCACCGGAAACCCCCCCAAAAAAAAAACGGAAAGCAAGAGCAGCCGTTCCAACACCGCTTTACTTTTTCCAGGGATGATCATCAAAGATCTCGTTTGCCCACCGGAAGGGCAAGCTTGGATTTTGAGCTGTGTAGTCGGTGCAAGGTCTGGCTCCGAAAATAGTCGTAGCCATGCCACCGCCAATATCTGGGCCTCACGCCCAGCGGGACTTGGAGTCCCTCAAGCAGATTTTTGCAACTGCCCGTCTTAGTGATGAGCTGACCAAGTTTCTGTTAAACATGGGCTTGACGTCAGTTTCTGATTTTGTCGGACTGGTTGCTGCTGCCACCTATGAGACAGAACTGAAGGACGTAGTGCTGGAGCCATCGCCAGCTAAAGGCGATGTCTTGCAACTTTCTCGCTTGAGAGCTGCTTGGCGGGAAGGGAGTCTGTTGCTTGAGCGACAACGCAAAAGGGGTAGATGGCGTTGTTGAGGACGGTGACGAGCCCTTGGACCCTGCTACCCAGGAGACCCTCATGACGCAGTGGCACGCGTTATATGGCCTTAAGCTGTCCATTCACATGCTCCCATCTGATGCCTTGCTTGGCCGTATCTACCGAGAAATCCAGCGTGGTGTTCCTACCATCATTCCGGCCAAGAAGATCCAGAGTCTGTTCCGTGGCACCCTTCCGCTTAATCGCGAAGAAGTTAGCCTCAGCACATCCATCAAAGTACAGTTGTCTGCAGAACCTGCGCCAGTGCGATCTGTCATTCAGTACTACCAAGCCCTCAGGGTCTTAGCCAACGCCTATTCGTTGGCAGGTATCCACATGGTGGCTAGCGTAGAGAAACCGCGAAAGCAGGTGCGTTACGCCCCGCTTGAGGTGAACCTGAACTATGCAGATTTTGCCTTAGCCCGCATCGCAGAGTCAACCTTGAGCGCCAATGATCAAGTGCGCTGGCTGGAAAGCCGTGACTTGCAGACAAGGGGAAAGATGGTTGAGCTCATGCGCCAGAATTGGCCACAAGGTGAGGCCCTGTCGCAGGCCCTCCGGGAATGCGAGGTGGTGTGGACAATTCAGCAAGCCGCCGCCGTGAACGTGCCGCCGGAGCTCCTGCAACCTGAGCCTGAAACAAGTCACACAGGCCCGAAGCGCGCGCGCAAGGAGCGCACCGTGAGCATTTTGCAGGGCGGGCAGCAGGTGTGCAAACGGCACAATGACCAGCGTGGTTGCACTCCACGTGAGAAAGATTGCCCTGACCACAAGCGCCACGTGTGCGACGGCCGTAAGCCGGATGGCCAACCGTGTGGCAGTTCCAGCCACACGCGCGGCCAGTGCCCGTTTGTGCGTGCGTGATGGTGCCAGGGGGGGGAGGGAAGACTTGCTGACTCCCCGCCCCAGGATCCTGCTGCCCAGCGCAGCGTGCATGTGAATTCAGCATCGCAGGCAAATGCCAGGTTGTCTCAGGCTTCGCTACCTCGCCTCATTCAGTGGTCTTGTGTTTGGCAGGGCCGTGAGAGTTTGCCGTCTTTCCCACTCCGTGTTTCCTGGGGCGGCCCAGTTTTGCTAGTTTCACTCTTTGATGGTGTTGGGTGTGTGCCACTTACGCTTGCTGCTTTGGGCGCGCAGTTTTGCTTGATCAGCGTGCAGTGTAGCAAGCTAAGCGCAGATAGTGGCAGCGGGCTATTCCAGCCAGCTTTGAATTTCCCGGTTGCTGAGCAGTTCGACCCCGCCGCCTTGCCTGCCGAGTGGCGAGCTGCTCCTTTTTGGATGATCTTAGTTGTGGGCCAGCTGCCAAATGTCAGCTGCGAGCAGCCCAGTAGCGCACGTGCGTCGGCTTGCTCGCATGTCAAGCGTGCAGGGCTAGCGTGCTCCTGCGTGTGGCCGCAGTCTTCAGTGTGGTGTGTCTTGGAAAGCCGCTGTCCGCTCTCCGACGGGGAACGCAGCAAAAATTCCGAAAGTTTGCCTATGGGGCCAGTTCGCACGTGTGCAGCTGACTGGGGGCATTTGGGGCACGAGAGCCTTTGGTGGCTCTGGTCGGCTGGGCCGGCAGTGCTACGTGTTGACCCAATGCCCCTGCTAGATGTTGAAACAGGCTCGCAGGAGGTTTTGCTCAAATACACTGGCAAACCTTGGCCTAAGAAGTTGCTTTTCCAGAAAAGGCCAAAAAGTCAGCCTGATTTGTGTCATACCGCCCAGGTCTGCGGAGTGCCGCTAGAGCTTGCGTCTGGAAACCACGGCTGCGATTATGTTGCCACACGGCCTGAGAATGTACTTCACACGCCTTCCTTAGCCGCTGTGCTCTGTATGATTGTAAAGGCCCAGGCCCAGACCACGACGCTGACGCAGCTAGGTTCATGTTTGTGTCCAGCAGTTGAGCGGCAGCTGCGCTCCAATGTGGATGGCACAGTTTTTCACCCACACTTTGGGCAGAGCTACCCAGGCACTTGGGATGCCAGCGGGCTTGCAGAAGCACTTGTGCAACGGTGTCAGCTGCACGGCTACATGTTTACTCGTACCGTTGCAGATCTTGGGTCAGCCCTTGCTGCCGTTGAGTTGTGGCGTTTGCAGCTGTATTGGGTGCACACCCAGCAAAGAGGGTTACCAGCCGCGCCGCAGGGCCCCGACTGGGCGCAACAAAGTAGAGTGGCTGAAGCCGCCGTTGGAGTAGGCCTGCAGAGGGGAGCCTGTAGTTCACGGTTCGCGTTACCGCCGCTGCATGCGCCGGGCTTAACCAAAGAAGCTCACATCCAGGACTCGGCGTTGTTGCCTTCGCCTTTTGCCACAACGTGCCCTTTGGATGACGACATGTGCTTCGCAGCCGAAGCCACGGCGCGCTTGGGCCCCTTTGTCCGCACGTGGCGAAGCGTGCAAACGAGAGCCCTTTGCAAGTTGTCCAAACGCCTTTTGCCATGGGAGGCGGAGTTGGTCGCACACATGCCACCTTCGGTAAAGTCAGTAGCTGCGGAACGAAGGCCTATGTTTATGCTTGCGTGCGCCCTGCTCATGCGCTGGCCAGACGAGACAAATCCCTTGCGGTTTGTCTCTGGCTATGACATTGTCGGTGATATTGAGGTCTCTGGCCTCTTTAGGCCACTCCGCGTGGATGACAGCGCACCAACTGGGCTTGACGTGCTTTTGGGTGATTCAGCACGGTCGAACTTGCGTGACGTGTTCTCTAGGGTCAAGTCTGGCGAGCACGACGAGAGTCTGCGAGATATGACACTGGATGAGGTCCACCAGGGCTTCGCCAACGGGCCCTACACTCTTGCGCAGCTCGATGCGCAGTTTGGCGCAGGGTGCTGGCGCCCGCTTGAAAGATTTGTTCATGTGCAATCTTGCGGGAAACTTCGGTGCATCGACAGTGGTAAAAAGCCTGGGCACAATGCCGCATCTAGGGAGCGTGAAACAATCTTCACTTGCAGCGTCGATGTGATCCCTGCTTCTATCATGGCAGTGCGTGCGCAGGCAGCCCAGCTATGGCCGCCCGAGTCGGCCTGCCCTTTCGTGGACTGGATGCATTTTGTTCTAGGCACAGAGGACATGAAAAATGCGTACCGCCAGTGCCCAGTAGTCCCACGTCACCGCTGTTGCTCAGCGGTGGCCTTTTGGGACCATCTTGAACAAGATGTGAGGTTCATTATTCTGAACGGCCTTCCGTTTGGCCTTTCCTCGGCAGTGCTCGCATTTAATCGCACACCCGCTTTGCTCACCGCCGTTGCCAGGCGCATGTGTGGAGCTATGACTGCGTACTTCTTCGACGATTCTGGGGTCTTAGACATGGCAGTTGGACAAGGGTCAGCGCAGGCAGCAACGCGTAGCACCTACCAGTTGGCAGGAGCCCTGCTAGACCCTGCAAAGTCGCAGTGCCCCGCTTCTGCCCGCACATTTCTTGGCCTCTCAATCAATGTTGGCCAGGCCGCGACCCATGGCATAGTTTCTGTGGACTTGAAGCCTGGCTTTCGTGCGCAAGTGGCCTGTTTCATAGATGATGTTTTGGAAAAAGACTTCCTTTCATCAGGCACAGCTGCTAAATTGCGCGGCAAATTCTCGTGGGCAGCTTCTGGAACCTTTGGAAAATGCGGCCGTGGAGGCCAAGCCGCGCTTGTGCGTCGACAATATTTCGACAAGCGTGACAGTTTGGACCCGGCCTTGCGCGATTGCCTTTGGTTTCATAGGCTCCTCTCTGAGTGGGTGGCGCCTCGGCAAATCGACCTTGCGCTGAAAGCGCCCGTGTCAGTGCGCGTGTACTCGGACGCCAGCTTTGAGCCTGAATCCTGCAACCCTGCTAGACTTGGTTTTGTACTGCTACCGCCAGGCAAGTCTGATGGAGCTGTGGGCATGTCAGTGGATGTGCCCCCATGCGCCTTGAGTTTGCTACAGCCTCGCGAGCAGCAAATTACGCCATGTGAAGCCTTGTTAGGTGTCGTTGTGCCACACAACGTGGGGCATTTGCTGTGTCAGCAAGATGTTATTTGGTACATCGACAACCAGGCAGCGTGCCAGCTGCTAATGAAGGGTAGTAGCTCGCACGTGGACTTGTGCGTGATCGCCACTCTCACACACCTCATGCTTGCGCGACTGGGGTGCCGAGTGTACTTCGAGTATATTGAGTCTGAAGCTAATCCGTCCGATGGATTGTCACGGGCAGGGCTCTTGGACGAGTGGACACTGCAGCAGGGCTGGCTGTTGATGCCAGCAGAGCTACCGCCTCTCTTTTACACAGGCTTTAAGTCTTTGGCTGAGGCTGTTACTTTGATCTAGCATTGGGAAGTTATCATTGGGACTTGTACTGCTGCCATGACCTTCACTTGCATTCTGGATCTCTTCAGCTTGCTTGGTGAGTGTGTATGCACGTGCTGTGCGTGCCCAATGCCTGCCTCCTTGTAACACCATCAGACATAGACATGCAGCCAGCTTTCTTCATGAGAGAAAAGCGCGAGGGTTGCAGGCATGAGTGTTCAGCTTCATTGGAATCAGCTTGGCCTGGCTGGGATTGGCAGGCTGTGTCTTTGAAGCGTGAACATTGATGGCTGCGCGGTTCAAGGCAGCCATCGATCGAAGACTTTTTTTTGTCCCAGCCCACCCACAGGCTTTACGGAGTGTCTCCTGTGCCTGTCACCCAATTTACATATAAGCGGAGGCCCCTGTGCCAGCCGTGCCATCACACTTGCATCACCTTGCGCCGCTTCAAAGATCCTTTGCATGGTGGCGCAGCGGGACTTGTACTGCTGCCATGACCTTCACTTGCATTCTGGATCTCTTCAGCTTGCTTGGTGAGTGTGTATGCACGTGCTGTGCGTGCCCAATGCCTGCCTCCTTGTAACACCATCAGACATAGACACGCAGCCAGCTTTCTTCATGAGAGAAAAGCGCGAGGGTTGCAGGCATGAGTGTTCAGCTTCATTTGTTTGTGTGCTTGTCTGTTTCCAGGGGGCGCCTTAAGCAAATGAAAGGAAAGCGAAGGCCCTTGCCTCCGAGGCATCGTCTCTGCGATTTCTTGGAAGCCCAGCCACTTGGCCACAGACCGATACAGATCGGTGCCAGCTGCCCACCTACGACTCGCATGGCATGGTCTTCCAAACCCCAGTGGTTTGGTGGCAAGCCGTGTTGTTTCTTTCCTGCTCGATGTTTTTTGTTTTTTTTTGCGAGTTTCGGATTGGAACTTGGCAAACTCTGGCACCCTCAGGTGGGGCCAGCTGATGGCCGACGAGGCTGGGGCCGCTTTGCAACCACGCGGACTTCGCGCCACGCATGTCCACGTAGTTTGAGGAACTCATTGGGCAGCAACAGGGGCCTACCTATGATACGGAGGTGTGTTGCTTCCAAGAATCCAGTCTTTCCATTTTCCCATAGTTTGTCTCGTGTGCAGCGTGTGATGTATTCTTAGCCCCAACCTTGACAAGCTGTTCTAACCCACACACCGGTGTCGCTTGTCGCTCTTGGTTCCCGTTTCTTATGCGAATATGAGCGCTTGGGAAAAGAAAGGAAGAAACAAACGTCGCACAAAAAACGTCGCACAAAAAAATAAATCCCCATTGACCTTTTTCTAAACGCGATACACAAAATACGGATTCCCAGAAGCCCTGGGCTTCGTCGAAGTGGGGAAAACCACGTCGTTCTCCCGGCGAACGCCGAACGGCGAGGCACCTCGAGCTGTGGAGCTGGGCGCTGGCACCGGCTGGCCGGGGCACCGAGGGCCGAGCTTTCGTGAATTTCTTGGTCTCGGTTGTCCAAAGCGAATCGACCTGCCAATGACCTGTTGGTTTTCCCATGGTCCATTTTTAGCAGTGCCAAAAGGTGATCACCTTTTAGTCCTGGGTCCCTAGAACTGAGTGCTTCAACCAGCCATCCGGTTCCTGGGGTTGTTTAGGTGTTTAGTTGGTTTAGTGGTTGGGTTTCCGAATTTCACCCACCAAAAATTAAGAACTTTTATCAGGGGGATCTGAGAACAGCCCAGTTTTGCTGGGTCCCTTCATCAATTTTGCCCTATTTTAGAGTCCTGGAAGCTGCCAGAAGGGTTCTGGAAGACAGTTTCGCAAAAAACCTGTCCGATCTGTCCACTTCCTGTATTCAAAAGAGTGCTCGGGGTTCATTGCTCCAAGGCTTTGTGGTCCCGCTCGGGCTTCGAAGCGTCCGACATTGGAAGATTCTCCTCTAGAAGTCCACGTGGGTTCGAGGAATCACCAAAAAGGGCCCCAGCTTTTGGGTCCGTGACGGTCCAACACAAAAAAATCCCAGCCGTTTTCGTTGGTATGTAATCATTTTCACAGGGATCGCGCCGGTGAGTGCCTCCCGGTTAGAGATTTCGTCCCACTGTAGGGGTTGAGGCACTTTGGCTGTGCCTCCAATCATTGTCGTTTAAAATTAGCTCAAAGGAGGAAAGGGCAACCGCCAACCGCCCGTTTTGGGGAGTCCCCAGACACCCATTTGGCCATGGGTCAAAATCCAAATCGTACCCCCAGTGAACGGCCCAATCCCCACTAAAATAGGTTTTAAAATGGGTGGTGAATTCACCTACCAACCCAAATGGGATCCCAAAACGGTTTTGACAACCACAGCCATTTTGATCCAGGCGGTTTAGCTTTGGCGGTTGGTCCAAAGCTCCATCTGCATCTCTCCATGGTTGTTGTTGGGAAATGTTTTACATGTTTGATTACTGTGGTTTAGTGGGAATTCCCCACTTACCTGCTAAAACTTAAAGTTTTGCTCCCCTTCCAACGTCAACCAAGTCTCAGTGCAACTGCAGGCTGGGCATGACCCTAGCGCGCAACGTGGCGACGGCCGGATGCGTTTGCCTCACCGAGCAGGCAGGAGAAGTGACGATTCCCTCTCCCAGCGAACGGTGCCCGACCTCTCACCCTTTTTTGGAGGGAGATTCGGTTCCCCTACTAAAATAGACAAAAAAAAATGGGTACCTTTATTCTAACCTTTTTTCTATTGGAGGACCGCAGATTAGGGGCAGTCAGCTCACCCAAAAGCACCGCTCTTTTGGGATTACCTATAGATATATTACCCATCCTCCAACAATCTGGGTGTGGGTCAAGAATAGGATAACCCCGAAATGGATCCCTATATGGAAACAAGGACTAAAGCCTGCAGTATGGTGACTTGTCTTGACCCATACTCGAATCACAACTGTCCTTTCCCATGGACATGAGTTTGTCTCTCTTTGAGGGTACCCCATTTTTGGGTTGAAAAGGGACAGCGAGAGGAAAGCCACCCATCTCAAGTGGACCCCGGAGGCTCTCCCAGGAAAAAGGACGGTCCGAGACATGTGAGGCGAGCGGTGGGGCAGGGCTCCCAGTGCATTGTGCCAAGGACGGACCCAACTCTCCTGGAAGTCAACATGGGTGCGCAAACATAGGGATCCAAAAAATGGGTTGCCCCGGGAAATGGAAAAGTAGACTACAACCTGCGTTCAGCTGTTTAGAACCATTTGAAGGAAGCTCATGCTTTGACACGCGCCCGTGCAATGGGTCAACATCTGGGGAATTCGACGCTTTCCTTAGCGCGGGTTTAGTCGTGTTGTGTGGCCTCTGGGCGGCCGGAGGTTTCGACTGCCTAGCATCCAAATGAGCCTCTTGAACATGTCGATGTTCACATGCAAACAACCTGTCAGCTTCGAAGTTTGATTATCGGGTTGCATGCTAGTGGATACGGTGAGTGTTTGTGTGTGTGTGTGTGTGCTTCTGGCACTTCTTGCAGCGCTGCAACGGGAAATTCTTGAAATGCCACGCTGCGGAACAGAATCGGAGCTTCGCTGAGTGCTTTCGCAGCTTTGCTGTGTGGTGCAAGGCCAAGATAAGCGTATGACAGCACAGATTTGCGACCGCCTCACTGGACGGGGTGTTCCATTGGCAGGTCGGCAAGCCACCGACTGACATAGTGTATTGAACAAATGCACCAGATCAGTTTGTGCGCACTGGCTGTTGTGTGGCAGAGGTGACAGATCATAGCTATTTCTTTCAATCAGCATCCATGTGTAGAGGCCTGCTACTTCTGTTTGGTGTAGAATCTTTCTCATCCAGCAGAGCCTGCAACACATGCTACGAGGGCCTTCAGAACCAATGTGGAATTGATTGGTTCACACATCTTCGATAAAACCGTGTCTGAGTGTGTTCCACATCAACCGACATGGTAACCACTTTGGGCATTCAGTGGTCAGCAAATCCCAGAGACAACCCAATAGTAACATGAGCTTGAGGCGTGGCGAGCATTGGGTCATTGACATGGCAAGGCTTCATGAAGATGTCCTTTTTGTTCCTCCCCCAAAGGGTTGTAGGTTTCACATTTCGGTGGCCTACCGGTTGTACAGATTCAGATCGCCTCTCTTACTGGCCCCTTTGAGTTTCTTTTGGGAAATTTGTGTCGGGAATGTCTCTTGTGTAAACTTGGGGCTCCCCTTAAATCAACCTCAAACACACCAAGTCGGCAAACGCCAAACCTCATGCCTGAGGAAAACCCGCCACTTCCGGTCTCCGGTCCAAGGCCATGGAGTGGCTGGAGCAGAACCTGTCGGCGAACGCGCGCAGCTCAAGGGTTCGAGAGGGTGCCAGCCGCAATGTCAAAAGAGACGAGGTCCCCCAGCGATTGGCGCCCTTACTTTTACCGTTTCTTTTTTGGTTGGGAGGGGTCCCCCAAAAAAAGGCTACAGATGATTGCTGGCCCCTATTCTAACCTCTCTACTGGAGGAGCTAGGACCCAAAGATGTCGGTCTAACTTGCTGGTTTGATGAGGAATGAGAATTGGAATGACCCCTATAAACCATCCAACTGGTGATTTCCTTCAAGGGGACCCCTGGGTTTATTCCCACATTCCCTACTAAGCATCAGCAACTTTTGATACCCCTTTAAACCCAAATAAAAGCAGTACCCGGAAAAGCACACATATCCGCCGGCTTCTTATGGAAAAGACATGTTTGGTTGGCGTTTCCGTTGAGACCAGGGGAACGACACGTGGTCTTGTAGCAGAAGGAGTCGACGAAACCAAGCTGCTTACTTTGCGGTCATGCGGTGTACTGTGCCAGGAGATCCAAGGCAGTTGATTCACACAGACAACCTCGCTGACCCATGAAAGCTCCTGAACGCAAAGCTGGAAGGGGGGGCCACCCAACCAAGACCAGTTTTGGGGTCAAAATCAGCTGAAAGGGAGTACCCAGAGAACTGTCATGGGCTTCTTAAACAAAGACTTGAGCGCAGCGTTTCTTGTGTGTCATGGTGAACTACTCATAGTCCATGTAAGATATCATTCAGCAAGGGACTTCAATAGCTGCAACGGATGTCTGAGAGAGCAATCGCCACCCTTTCTATGGGGGTTGGCTTGTCTCCAACCAATATGACATGTCCCGATTGTTCTACACCCATGTTTTTCTACACCCCTATAAGAATGTGTCAACTCAGCGACCCCAATTGGATAGTTAGTTGTTTGCCGTTTTTTGGAAAATACTCGGAGTCCTGCAACCATTGGCAGTCGACCTGCCAAATTGGGTGGTCAACAACCCAGGTGTCCGGGTCATTTGGTCCCTTCCCAATAGGAATGATCAGACATCAGGTCGTTTGTTAGCTTGCCAAGCCTGTTGCTTTGCCAAAGATGGTCATCAGCCCCTTGAAATATTAGGGTATGTGTCAAATCTCTGGGTTTCCTTTGACACTAACCTGAGAAGGCTGCCATCAACACAAAGCATACCCATGCTTTTTGCTCGGGAGGTGGCGGCGGGCCTGCCGCTGGAGCCCGTGCAGCTGCAGGCGACGCACACGGATTGCAACCTGGTCGCCCGGTGAAGCCGAACCATTGAAAAAGACGATTCTGACTTCTCCCATGACTAGTCTCCCAGCAATTGGTGCCCGACCTCTCACCGTTTCTTTTTGGGGCGAGATTCGGTTCCCCTACTAAAAAAGACTACAAAAAAAAGTTGGGACCCTTATTTTAACCTCTCTACTGGAGGACCTAGATGAGTCGGAGTTCTCCCGTGTGGCCAAGGGGTCGCGGAATATCCTCCAGTTCCATATGGATCGGCGATGGAGAAGGAACCATCGATCCTTCAAACATTTTAGGTCCTCGCGACCTGCCGCTGGAAAAGGTTTCCAGATAGCGATCAAAGAATATGCAGGTGCCCTACCACCGATCAACATGGAGCCCCCTTTACCCCCCACCTGTCAGGTTCCATGTCAATTGGTGGGAGGGTATCCCGGCTGCATCGTGCGAGCCGTTTTGGGAATCCCACAGCTGCCGAAGGCGGCCTCGGTTCAGGGAAATCGGCTTTTCAGAGCCGACCAAGTTGAGAAGCCGTTTTGGTCCGAGGATTTCGTGGCATGCTGTCCATCCTGCTGCTTTTGGATGTGTAAGTCGGTCCAAGAAGGTTGGACAGAGCCCTCAGCAACGTTGCGTCTCCGTTCACTTTCCCCTTTGTTGGACAACAGCCGGTGTTGTCTTGTTTGTTTCTCATGAGGGAGTGCACTTGCAAAAGGAGGGGACAGCTTTTACTCAGTTGTTCAGTGGCACCCTTTTTCCTCTCTTTTTCTTCCGCGGCTGCCCCACTAAAAATGGTCTTCCCCAAAAGGGTTCCCCTTTTTTCCAGGGTCACTGAACAACTGATTTGTCAAGAAGCTTGGGGCAGTGCCAACAGTAGCGCCTCCTTCGCAGGAGTTGGATTGGAGTCGCTGGGCTGCCACCCGCTCAGCACCTTTTTGCTCGTGCAGCAGTTCAGGGTCGGCGGACTTTGTGTCGGGGGTCATTCTATTTCCCGTTTCAGCCAGTTTCCACGTCACCTTTGGGACAAGGGAGCACGGCTTCCCCCAAATCTCCAGCCTCAAGTTCGTCGGGATCCAATCTTTAGAGGTGTGTGTTTGGGGCGGCAAAGCATTTGTGGTCCAGGGGTCAGCGCACATGAGTGTCTTTTTGTCAGAGGGGAACCCTCTTTTGGTTGGCATTAGAGGGAAGCCAAAAGGACACCAATCATTTCAGGGGTTCCACTCCCTATTCGGAGACATACCCATATCGACTATGCGTTGCGTCCTTGCATGGATTGTCTGTTCTGGACGCCACCAACAGACATGCATCTCCGCATACTGCGATTCACCTCTCAATGCATTTTGCTTCAAACATCAACCAATGGTCATTGCTCTTAACTCTGGCTTGCCCTTCTCTAAGACAGTCTCCGTATCCCCCCCAGGGTCTCTATGAGGATCTATCCCACGTTTAACCGAAGATAGCCATGTTCAAAGGGTAGCAAGAGACCCTTTGGGCATCAGTTCAGCGCGGTCGCGGTCATAGGCTGGAGAGCCCGTCCAACTGCCTCAGCCACCCGAAGGCCGGAGCTGAGTGGCAGGTGGGAAACGGCAGGATGATCAGTTGCATGCGTCTTGAAGGGCCCCACTAGGTTTCAACAAGGGAAGCCACCTTGAAATCAGAGATGTGTTTGTTGTGGGCCCCCTGTGTCAAGCTTCTTTATGATTATTGCAGACGTGCTTTACGGATATGGCATGCTGTTCAGCCTCTGCGAGTGGCTGAAATAGCTCGCTATAGCTCGCTGGTGGCCGCCTTTCCAAGTCGATTGGATCGCCATTTGATCTGCGCAAACAATGTTTCGCACCGAGGTTGCAAGCATTGTTTGCGGAACATCAGGCTTGATTGAGTGGCTGCAAAACACTTGCAGATGTGGATTGCGCATCGTCTTTGCCTGGAATGTGCAAGTTTTGCCATCAAGGAGTTGCATGGTTCCATAGTGTAAGCCAGTCGGAATGAGGGGATATGTCGTATTCGCCACCCTCCCCACTGATACTAGGGGACCTCCCCGTTCTCACGAAAGATTGGACAGACCCCAATTGTTCAGCATCAGTCCATGCTCTTTGGTTTGACCGAATCGCTCCGTACAGAAAAGCTTCGGAATACATTAGACCTACAAACGGTAAAAGGGGATCGGCCTTTCGCGCATTGTCCCTTGCTATTTGGCTGTGGGTCAAAACCGTTTTGGGATCCCATTTTGGTTGGTAGGTGAATTCACCACCCATTTTAGGCTTCCTAGTTTAGTGGTTGGATTGGTTGATCTTCACTGGGGGCTAACCAATTTGGGTTTTGAAAAGCCGGCCACATGAAACGGTCCAGGATCCTGGGACCTGTTGATCGGCTCTGACCTCATCTACTCCCAGGCACTCGGGCCCGGGCCGGGCACCGCTCAAAAGACGAAGCATTGGGAATGGGAGCCACATCTATGGGATTTGATGCAGCCACAGCGTACAAACAGGAACGCGACAATATGTTGTTGAGTCCCATTACGATGGAGAATCCACTCTGGAGTCTCTTTATGGCACTGGAGCATGATCGAATTCATTTGGAAACGTCTAGTGTCCTGATACGAGAATTGCCTACGCAGCGGTTGATGGACACCCAATCGGGCGACCCTATTCTCCCAGTAGTGCCCTTTTACCCGGAGGGTTCCCCTACTAAAATAGACTACAGAAGAATGGGTACCCTTATTCTAACCTCTCTACTGGAGGAGGAAAGGGTCTAACAGATATGGGTTCTAGGATGCGACACACCTGATGTTCCTTGCAAGCTGGAACCTGACGAAATCCCGAAATGATGTCCACCAACCCGCGGAAACCGTCCCGTGCATGACGTGTTTGCCAGCTCTGCGGGCTGCCGCAGAGGATTTCCGGATCTAAGTAGAAGCCCTGTCCCCTTTCAACAGGGGTTCATCACTTTGGGGCTCAACAGGAGATGTGTCTCCCCTTTTGATGGGGATCAGCACGGGGGGGGGTTGTCCCCCAAATGAAAGCAGGCGGGTGTATTCATCTCGGGTCAGCAAGATATGAAGTCAGCGGCTAGACGTTCGATTGAAGCGCAGCCCAGTTCGTCCCTCCCCCGAACGGCCGGGTCATTTGCCATCGAAGATCCAATATGAGCTAACAAAGCTACTTGAAAAATTGGTTGCCCCCGCATGGGCCGGAGTACGTTCTCCTTGCCGTTGCTCATGGGGTAGCTAAGGCAAGGTCGCCGGGCACTGATGAAATGATTCATTACTTCGACAGTGGTCTGGCCCTCTCAAAAGATCGCCAAATCGTTGCATTCGTATTCACCCACAGATCGTACGAAATGCTCCATATTTCGAACGGTTCCCTCCAAGCAGCCTGACAGATCATGGATCCGGATCCATCACTCGTTTTTGTTGTTCCAATATGGACGCCTTTGGGAGCCCGAGATTTGTGGGGACCTAAATCAGGCTGGCCTTTTTGGGCTAAACACATTCCCATCGCCACCAACGGATGTGTCGTTCGCGTGGAACCCATTTTGTTCCCCCGGGTGCAAGTACCCTAGGTACTTTAACCCCCCTTTATCTCTCCCCCAGCAAAACCTTCCAAAACATAACTTGAGGTGCCCTCCCACCAATTAACATAGAACCTGACGTTCGGGACCCGGTCCCTTTAAAGGTTCACCATGGTCTTCCACCAGAATTCCCCGGTCTTCTACGTCCAACGGTTCCATGTGAAATGGAAAGGGGTAGGGCTGCTTACCTAGAGTCTCCATGACCCTTAAAAAATGGGTCCACGACCCCTTAACTTTTGGGTACTGACCAACCATTTGTTTAAGGGACCAGAAAATTCAGGAGTAGCTCCTAAGAGTACTGGAGCACCCTGACTTCCTCCTGGTTTCCCTTTCTCCATTTTCTAAAAGTCATGGAGTCCTGGAGACTTCAGGTGCTTGAAGCCTCCGGGTTCGGTCACCTGCGGTTCGGTCAGCTTCCGAGGCGGGCGTCCAGCTGCTGCCCCGAGTGCTCCGCAGCTTCGCGGAGGCGTTCGGACGCCCGGCCGAAGGAGGTGCCTTGCTGGTACCGACGAGCAGCCCCAAAGATAAGACCCACAAGGAAACCCGGGGTGGAATCATGGGTGGCTGAGGGGAGGGAGCCCAAAAAAGCCCTTCTATTCCTTTTTCAGACTAAGGGCTTATGTGGGCCCACGTCAACCCCGAAAAATTAAAACCCAGGTGGTTTCGGGACCCAACAGACCCAACAGCCCAACAGCCCCTGGAATCGAGTCTCCGGAACCCTGGAAGCTTCCCCAAAGCACCCGATCCAGCCCCCTCTGGGTCTTGAGTTGGTACCCTAGGTTGTTTAAAGGGAAACCGCACATACAAATAGCTCCAAAGCCCCATTTTCACACTCCAAATGGAAAGCAAGAGTACCAACCATTTTAGGAGCTCCTAGGGGCTGAACATGACTCATGATGACTTGAGTTGGACGCCCAAGCACATTCCACGCAACTCGCTCTGAAATCCGTACGGTGGAATTGTCTCCGGGTGGCTTCCGTAGGTGCTCTATGCACGGGGTCTAGACACAGCTTGTCACAAGTGCATGTGTCGAACTCATATTTACAATGATGTAAATAATATATATATATATATATGGGGTACCCCCTTTCATGGAACCTGGTTTGGTGCGTTGGCCCTGTATTTTTTTAATATGTAATATCATTTGCATGGTTCAACATTGGGGGGGAAGAAAACGCCAGAGGAGCGGGAGGACCTGGAGGAGCAGGTGGCAGTTTTGCTTTGCATCGGGCAAAGGGATTTTCACCATAGCCGCAGGGCATGTGGAAGCGCACAAGGGCGTCGATTGCCGCCTGGGTCGGCGGAAGGGCATGCACTGCAGATTGAGATTTGGTGCTCGCTTGGCGCACACATAATAAACCTGATGGATCGATTCCCTCTGAAATGGGACACACCCCCTATCAATCAGGCAGGTGTTCATTCACGTTTCCGCTCGCGATGAAGCCATCTGGCTCCCAGTCACGCGACTTTACGCGACTCGTGGAATGAAGATCGCAGGCCATCCATAGGCAACGGGGCTGGGGTGTGCCTGCGCTGGAAGGCACAACCATTTGGGATTTATTTACTTTTTGCATAAAGGCATTGTATCTTCAGCGGCAATGTGTTGCATGTGCAAGGCCACTTGCCCCCAACTAGACAAATCGCACCCTGTTCCACCGTATCTGCAGTGAAGATTTCGTTTCTTGAAGAGTCGACTCAGGTCGGCGGAATCGCAAAATGAAGGCCTTGGGCCAAGACCCCTGCCAGAACCAAGTCAAAGCAATCGGGATGACTTGGTCTCCGCTAAGTCCTGGCCTTGGGCTCCGAAATTGTGATTTGGCCTGGCGTCTTGTTAGGGTTCCTTTTGGTTTCCCGTTAACGCGATGCAAGAAGGTTGGGAAATGAACAGTTAACGCCATCCAAAAAGGGGGTATACCAACTCAAACGGTGCCAAAAGCAATCATGGTTTCACAGTGATGGTCATCAAGCGGAGATTGGCCGGCTTTCATTTTGAGCAAATTACACCAGAGGGGATCCAGACATGAGTTGATTTGGTTTCGCGCGGAACTGGAGTTCTATTCACTGCCAACCTGGAATTCGGTTCGTACCGCCAGTTGATCTGCATGGCTACTTACTTGTCTCTTTCAGTATTGCATCCCGGCCTGACGCATTTTTCTTAGGATGGTTGTAGAAGCAGATTGCATTCGGGCCAAGCAACCAAGCAACAGCGCAATGCTTCTGAGTGAGATCTTTGCAGGAGTGCAGCTGGTCAACCACGAGGTCGGATGGCACCAGCGCAGCTTGGCTCCCGATGGTTAGAGCGAAGCCAGAAGGAAGCCCACCGTAAAACATCGCGAATTGGTCGTTGATGTGACCGAATAGTCCGCTTTCCAGGTTTATAAAAGCAATAAATGTATTTCCCATGTGAATCCTACAACATGTGATCAACCTTTGGGGGGGAGGGGGTTGATCACCACGTGTTTGGGACCTTTTTAAGTTGCAGGCAAAACATGCAAGTGAGCAAAAAAAAAATCCGACCAGAACATCTTGGCAATTTGCTTCATGCATCCTAAGTTGTACAATATTGGGCTCCTTGCTTGGGGGTTCCGTATTCCAGATGTGTCAATCATAGGAATTCCTCCGGTTAGTTGCACTTGTCAATGTTGGACAGATTGGTCATGTTTGTCAATCCTACCCCACAGTGTTTAGCTTCATTGACATCCAACACATCGATCGGGTTTTGGATGGTATTCCAACAACATGGTCAGGAAAAATGGCGGGTTCGGCAGAATTCCCCTTGTCAATGATGTCCACCATGTCCACTAAAGGGTCACCGTTTAATTTCATACCCATGCCAATTGAGCGAAGGCACCTGACAGGGCTTGTTTGCACGATCGTGGGTGCGATTCAGAGACTTGGCCCTTCTGTCGCTTTCAGCCAGGGCATTTGAGGTCATCATCCATTCCTCTTGCATTTTCCGGGGTGGAAATCAATTGGGTTTCCACCACCAATCGTGAGTGGCCATGTCCAATTGAAAGAAGCTCGGACAAAATTTTACATGTCAGGAGCTCTCGCGAGATGTCTCGGTGAGACTTCAGAAACCTTTCCTCTGGTTAAATTTGCTGAACAGCCTGGAATAGCCCCACCCCCTTTTGCCTGACCTAAGGGCGGAACTGGAAGAGGAGCAATGCACCGTGATCTCTGGCCCCTTCGCCATCGCGGTGCAGGCGTTCCTTGCACCTCCGCCAGAAATTGGGGCATTGAGTTTCTCAATGGATGTTCAGATCGTATTTGAAGTGACACCAAGTTCAACGAGAACTAGGTCTCCCAGTAGTGCCCTTTTACCCTTTTTTGGGGAGGGTTCCCCTACTAAAATAAACTACAGAAGAAAGTTGGTACCCTTATTCTAACCGCTCTATTGGAGGACCTAGGAAAACCAAAAGGAAACCAATAGTTTTTAGGGGGCCCTGCGAGACACAGCGAAATTGAGCCACACGCAGGTCGCTGCATCGGCCATACACTTCCTGAATCGGGTGCATGGTGGACGTAGGTGGTTCCCTGTCTTACATAGAAGCTGAAGCTAATTTATACAATCAGAATTCTTAATCAATTTACATGAAACTAGGATTGTTTAAAGAAGGAAATGTCATGAAATGTCTTTTTGAGGGTATAGCCCTTTTCGGATGACAGTGAAGCCAAACGCAAAGCCACAAGTTTTGTGGGAGTCCCCTAAAAGCATGAAAGCACCCATGACCGCAAGGCGCGTCCCGTCAATCCCGTTCGATGCATCATGTGCTCCGCCTTGAGGCCTTTGTAGTTCTGGCAACGCCGCTGAGCTGCAAGTCACACCGTGCCGATCTTGGACCCCAGCTAGGTCCCCCAGCTAGGCGCCTTTTCTCACCAACTTGTTTGGTTGGGAGGGTTCCCCTACCAAAATAGACTACAGAGAAAAAATCCGGTACCCTTCTTCTAACCTCTCTACTGGAGGACCTAGCAAGTCGGACCCGGCTAAGGACCGATGAGCTGGTTGTATGGCTTCCCCGCTTCATCAACCCCATGGGGGATAATATTGTTGGGTCGGAGTTTCTGGGTCGGAGTTTGGTCCCTAGCAATGGCTTTCGTGTCGACTTTCGACACGGCCGTGGTCGTTGCTGGGAGTTGCTCGCAGATATAGTGGTCGCATGGGAAGAACGCAATTCGCAAGAGAAGCCCAGACCTCCAGACCTGCAGGTTTGCCCTTGAAGCCAAGCTACGATGATTTTGTTTTTTTGCGGGGGTCTGAAGGATGGCCGGAGGGCCGGCCCTTGCCTAGGCTGGTGTACAAACGCAGCACTGAACACCCACAGCGCAAGCTCAATGTCTGGTGCCTTGGCAAGCGACTTCGGAGGTTGCAGCTTTTGTGGGGCTGGCTGGTTGGAAGGGAGTGGCGATCGGAGTTCGGAGTGTGAGGACACGGTGGGGCTTGTTTTGCCGGCATGAAGCTCAAGGGATATCCATTTGGGGAAATTGTCTTCTTGTTCAAGGTGCCACCTCGGTTGAAACCAGGGTAAAAGCCTGCATGCACACTTTGCGCCTCTTGTAACACAGGATTGGCGGACAAATATGAGATTATGTGTGTATGTATGTATGTATGTATGTATATATATATATATATGCAGTACATCTATACATATTATAATGCACACTTGCCAGTTCGATCATTTCCTTTGGCGAAGATTGTAGTTCCATTTCCGTTTGGGGAAGATTATGATTCCATGCTCCCTTTGGGGAAGATTGTCGTTGCATGTTCTCTTTGGGGAAGGTTGCATTTTCCCTTTGGAGAAGACAAGAAAGATGGGACAGGGGGTACCACCTCGCCACACCGGGATGCAACAGGCAAGCCAAAACAGGCTGGTGCAAAGGTATCCCAAAGTCTGTTCATGAACCTGCGCTCGCCTTGGCTTAGGCTAATGGATGTCTCTAAGCAGGCGGGTGACTGCAGCACCTTCCGCAAGCGATTGCCTCGATAGGGGCAAAGGTCGCCTCGACCCGGTCACTTCCACAGAAAGAGCTAGACATTGAACAGTGATAGGCAGACACAGTGCTTGGCTTGATGTGTTTCCAGAGGCGTGTGTGTTAAGCAGAGGCCCCTGTGACGGTAGGACGTCAAAAGAAAGCCAAACATTTGGATTGGCAGATATGTTTTAGCCAGATGTGTCTTAAGTGGAGACACTTGTGACGTTAGATTTTCAACAGGAAGCATTTGGAAGCCTTGGCACGGGCGGTTTCCCGAATCCTTCATTCCAACCAAATCGATCTCAGGTGCGCTGCGTTCAATTCCTCGGGTTTCTTTGAGTTGCACGTTGAAAACCCATGGCGAGCAACAAGTTTCTGACTTTCTAAGGCCAATGGGTGAGACCAGGCACGATTCCAACTTGATTTCACTCCAAACGCCAGGGTTTCGCCATGAGCCTGCAGCACTTTGTGAACGTAGCCCTGGCGGCGGCTCG